AAATAATTCATATATACACTGTTGTTCAAAAGTTTGGGATCAGTAAGATTTTTAATGTTTTTTTAAAGAAACATCTGCTCACTAAGGCTGCATTTATTTGATAAAAAATACAGAAACAATTTTTAATATTGTGAAATATTATTTAAATGTAAAATAATGGTTTTCTATTTCAATATACTTTAAAATATATTTTACCATTTATTTATTTAACATTTTTGATAGACCATTTCAATTGAAATTTCTTCTGTTGATCTGGTTATTATCCCCTTTTTTTTTTTTTTCTCTGATCTTTCGTAATCCTGACATTCGTAATAATTCGTTATTGGTTTCTAATACCTTTTTGAGAAAAAAAAGAGCATGTGAGCCTGTGGCAAATTACATTTATTTTTAAAATGCTACTTTTATTTTATTTTTCTTTTAAAGATAACACATAATTAACATTTCTTCGCAGAAATAGAAAGGCACTAACATCAGACCAAAATCTAAGAGACAAATCACAATTATAAAACAAATGACACAAGTCTTCCTCGTGTGTGTTACAAAAACTGCAAGTATTGTCAATGTCCATGAATTTAGAAATAGCTACTTTACATGGGTACATTTTGTGAAGGATTTGACCAGGTCGTTTTCCAATTAATATCAGAAATGTTTGCATTCCAAAATAACTTTCCTCTAGGGGAGATTTTATGATTTGATTGCAAAATGTGTCTAATATTTTTATTATTACAAGAGGAAGAAAATATTTCAATACCATTAATTTTTAATTCTGGAAATATCCTTTCATTGCTACCAAAAGAGAGGTGATTATTTATTAGTTGCATCAACCCATTTGGAATAGCTTTAACCACTTGTTGAAATTCTTTATATATATATATATATATGTATATATATATTATATATATATTACAGGTAATTATCCAACTATATTATTACCTATATTATATTGATACCTATATTATTATAAAGGTAATTATCCACCTTTTTTTTCTTTCTGATCTTTCGTAATCCTGACATTCGTAATAATTCGTTATTGGTTTCTAATACCTTTTTGAGAAAAAAAAGAGCATGTGAGCCTGTGGCAAATTACATTTATTTTTAAAATGCTACTTTTATTTTATTTTTTTGTGTAACCTTTAATGAAAGAGAAGATGAATTAATTTACATAGGACTGTATAGGTAATATATAATTGACTGAGTTGAATGTTTCTGCACTGTTCAGTGAAACTTTGTTTTGAGCCAGTAGATCACACGGCTGATCGATTGTGGCAAAACAGAGGCTGTGTTTAGGTATATTTTCCCACAGTTGTGAGTGAAAAGCAGTGGGTACGCTGGGTGCGCAGGTCAAAGATCGCCGGAAAGCCATAGTGATTGGTGCAGATGGTTTTGGGGATTTTCCCTCATTTCACCCAGATCCCCATGCTCTTCCCAACACACAGATGCCCATTCAGGGCAGACCCCCATGGATGGAGGGGGGGCACCAAAGGCCCTTTGTGCCCAGAGAGGAGCTCTGTGGTCAGACACTGGAGCCACTGTCTTCCCCTCTCAATGGAGGCTTCTTCATGCTTTTGCAATAACGCTGGAATGTTTCCCTTTATGCTTTTTTGTTTGTTTTAATACAGACGTTAGCCCAGACACACACTGTATCACAAACACACATCACCACTTCATTTCACTTCGCCTTTAAACTTGTATACTGAGCTAAGAAAGGGACGTGTTGGAAGGACATTGTACATTTTAAGATCTCCACCTTATTTTACTGCTGAGAGCTTGCGGTTACTGAAGCCTGTCCTCAGAGGTGGGTGAATAGACTCACAGAAATAGAGCTGCCTCAGAGGAGTGAAATATGCCAGAGAAGAATTCCTGGGGATGGGAAAACGTGTTTCTGAAATGGTGAGAAGGGCTGTTGTTTCCACACTGTGTGAACATTAGGCCGTGGACTCTTCAGTTGGTTGAGTGAGTTCACTTCGCCCTTCTCCAAAAACTCCCCTTGGTTTTCTCTTCAGTCTTTCATTATGCCACATCACAGTCTCTCGTGTCCTCTCATCCGTTCTTCATTTCTCTTCCTCTCAAGTCAACAGGAAATGGAAAATCACTCCATCTATTGTCTAAATGCATCTCAGGGATTTTATTGTGAACGATTCATCCATGCAAAATCCATAAAAATTGACCTCATAATGTTTAATCAAAATGTCATAGTTTCTACACCGCCAGTCAAAGCTTGCACACGCTTGGCTGAATTTATATTTCTCATGATCTGAAGGCTTAAATTCATGAACATTTACATTTTAAATAAATAAAGCTTTTTATATACGTAAATGCAATGTTTTTGAACATCTGGTCATTATCTCAAATCTCAAAACTTGATCTTTTGGTAAAACGACAGACTTCTCACTGGTGACATATGCAGGACTTCTCTAATGATTTAATCTGCTTAAACTCCACCCCTTTATGCCTCCATCCAATCAACAACTGATGCACAGAACCAAGTCCCCGCCCTACTTTTTTCCCCAACAATCACTCGGATGTACATCACAATATGGAAGAAAAGATCTGCTGCTACTGCCAGTTGATCATAACTTGAATTTTCACTTTTCACTTTTCACCTTGTTCTTGGTCTGAACTAGGAAATTAGTTACACCTAACCAGACACGATGCATTAAAGTGATCAGTAATAAAAACTATATTAATGTCTGTTGCATTGCATGCTATAGCCCCGCCCACCATGATATCTCATTGGCCCAAAATCCCACTCCAGCAGATCCTATGAAAATAAATGAATGAGACTGAACGATTTCATACAGATTAGCCACCAAATTTGCCAAAATGAAAAATACTCACAAAATGCCAAGAGATTGTGTTGGAGAAACAGACCAAAGCCATTTGGACCACTTTAATAATAGTTTAATGGTGCTCTTTTGGTGTTTTGGAGCTTGAAAGTTTTAGTCCTCGTTCACATGCATTATGTTGAAGCGAACGGCCAGAATGTTCAAGACATACAAATTTATGCAAATGAAATAATATAATACAATAATAATACAATTATCCACCAATTTGCCAAAATGTAAAATAGTTATACATTTCCATGAAAAATGAGCCATTTGGTCCACTTTAATAATAGTTTAATGGTGTTTTTTTTTTTTTTCTTGATAGTCCTAGTCCTCGTTCACATGCATTATGCTGAAAATAATGGCTAGAATGTTCTTCAATACATGCAAAAACCTACAAATGAGATCGTACGAATTCAAATGAATTAGCCACCAATTTGCCAAAAAGGAAATAGTCACTAATTGCATGAGACTGCCTTGAAGGAACAGTCCAACATTTACAGTATTGCTTCAGAAGACTTGGAAGAATTGCCATTTGGACCATTTTTGTAATATTTTAGTGGTGATTTTTTTGGAGCTTGACAGTCCTAGTCCTCGTTCACATGCATTATGTTGAAAAGAATGGCCAGGATGTTCTTCAAGACGTAAAAATTCATACAAATTAGCCACCAATTTGCCAAAATTTAAAATCGTTACGAATTTCCATGATATTGTCTTGAAGGAACAGACCAGAATGTACCGTTTAGCCTCAGAAGACTTTGGACCACTTAGATTTTTTGTGTGTTTTTTTGGAGCTTGACAGTCCTAGTCCTCATTCACATGCATGAAGGTGAAAAAAGGCATGTTCTTCTAGACGTACAAAAAAAAAAAATGAATTAGTACAAATTAAAATGAATTAGTCAGCAATTCACATTCAGGAACTTATGAATTGCTATAAGATTGTGACCAAACAAAAATGAACAGTATTCCATCAGAAGACTTGAAAGAACTACTTTTACAATATTTTAATGGTGCTTTTTTTTTTGTCAATTTGGAGCTTGACAGTCCCAGTTCTCATTCACGTGCATTACGTTAAAAAAGGACGGCCAGAATGTTCTTCCAGTTGTACGAATGACATTGTATTAATTCATGCAAATTAGCTTCCAATTAGTCATAATGTAAATAGTTATAACTTGCCATATGGTTGTGTTGAAGGAACAGTCTTAAAGTTACAGTACTGCTTCAGAAGACTTGGAAGAAGAGCCATTTAGACCACTTTAATAATAGTTTAATGGTGTGTGTGTGTGTGTGTCTTGACAGTCCTAGTCCTCATTCATGTGCATACATTTTTGTTACACTGCTTTGATTTTGTGTTGCATGTAAGAACGAGTTTGCAAGAGTCCGTTCTCTTCAGTCTTTCGCTTGCGTTCTGTCTCCCTCCAACTCTCCAGCCTTTCCGTGACTAGCTGTCATTAATCTGACTTCTCTGGGGGCAGTACCTTGAGCGCATGCCAGCGCACATCGTACAGCAGGAGAGACTGAAGAAGGCAGTGAAGAGGGGGGAGTCAAAACACTCTTCCCAAAACAGAGCAGCTTTTCTAGCTTTGTGAGCGCAGGCTCCGGGAACTTCTAGAGGGCGGCTGCTTTACGATGTGGAGAAGTGTAGGCCGAGCAAATAGAGCTGCTTATCAGTTGTGTGGTGGAGACCACCCTCAGACCGCCTCGGGAGAGAAACCCGCTCCCAGCGCCTTCCCACAACTCTCCAGAACAAATCAAAGTCATCCTCCATAATGAAGTGTTGTTCTTACACTCTGGTTTGAGTAAATGCCCGCTGACACACTCGTGAGCCGTTTTACAGTCACCGTCTTGGCTTGTGTGGGAAACTTTCATGCAGGATTATCCAAACACAACAGTGTGATTCCAGATGTAGTTCGTGCCCCATCCGTAACCCGTTTTTCTCATGGTCTTGTGGTACGACACACCCATATGCTGCACTTCAGAAAGCCTTCATCTGATTCAGACGGAGAGCTTTAGTCAACAGTCGTTTCTCAAGCCTGGCACGGCCGACGCTGTTAAATCTTTCGCTGAGATAATGTGTGAAGTTAAGAGAGTTGAAAAGTTACAGAGTGTCAAAACCGATCTGTGTGTGTGCTCTCCGTTGGGAACTGATTTGGCGATAATGTCTGTTTCTTTCAGAAATTTGGCTGTAGGCATTGGCATTCAGAACTTTCCAGAAGGCCTTGCCGTGAGTCTCCCATTGCGGGGTTCTGGAGTGTCCACATGGCGATCCTTTTGGTGAGTCCAGACAGATACACATTCACATCCAAAACCTAGTGAGCTGCCTGCATGGACGACGTTTTAATGTGTCGTGGCATAAAGTGTTACACTTCCAAAACAAAGGCTGCTCCAAATAGTTTAGACACCGTAATTTGGACAAACATGCAAGGTTCATAATACCTAACGGTTGGATTTGCCAAAGTTTGCAAGGTTTGTGGATTGAATTATTTATTAGATATTCAAAGAATTGCTTAAATTGTATAAATGCATATTTGTTGAATGCCGAACGTATATGAGAAAGTATTATAGTATTTGCTAGTAATTACTAATCATTACTGTTCATGTCTCGCTTTCGACATGTATTGGCTAAACAGAAAGTCTTAATTAAAAAAATAAAAAAATAAATAATAATAATTTAAAAAATCCTGTTTCCAACGCTTATTGGCCAAACAGAAAATCAAAAAAAAAAAAAAAAATCACTTCCAAAACAGAAATACTTAATTAAAAAAATAGAACTAACTAAATAAATAAATACTACTACTAATAATAATAATTACTGTTTAAGTCCCGCTTCTCACACTTATTGGCCAAAGAGAAAATCTAAATAAATAAAAAAACACTTCCAAAACAGAAATACTTAATTAAAAAATATAAATAAATAATAATAAATATAATAATAATAATTACTGTTTAAGTCAAGCTTCTGACACTTATTGGCCAAACAGAAGAAAAAAAATAAATAAATAAATAAAATACTGTTGATGTCCTGCTTTCAACACTTGTTGGCCAAACAGAAATACTTCATTAAAAAAATGATAATAATAATAATAATAGAAATTACTGTTTAAGTCCTGCTTCGGACACTTATCGGCCAAACAAGAAAAAAAATAAAAAATTGACATTTGAAAAAAATGCATTTGAAAAATACATACAAAACCAAAATTCTGCCAATAAATATTAGCCTTGGCGATATATTGGTGAACTACTAGTCTATTATTTAGCTTGCTGTCTTAGAAGGAAGCTGCTTATGTAGGCAGCTCTCTAGATTTTGGACCAATGCTACAGTCACAAACATTTATTATGGTCTATTTGTCTTAATTTATTCCTAATATGTCCTGATTGATTTCTGAGACGCTCTAAAACCTGTTAATTGAGTAGTTCAAAGTGCTGCAGTGATCTGTCCTAGTGTTGTATGTGCGTGTGTCGGCCTCACAGGTACGGGCAGCTGAGCGGGATGGTGGAGCCTCTGGCGGGGTTGCTAGGGGCCGTTGCCGTGGTGCTGGCGGAGCCGTTGCTACCGTACGCTCTGGCCTTCGCTGCAGGAGCCATGGTGTATGTGGTGGTGGACGACATCATTCCTGAAGCCCAAGTCAGGTGAGCAGCAGCACCGTAAACAAGCGTTCACTGGAAAGACTGCAGATGTTCATATGCCACTGAATGTGTGTTTCTTTCACAGCGGGAATGGCAAACTGGCCTCATGGACGTCCATTCTGGGCTTCATCGTGATGATGTCACTGGATGTGGGGCTTGGCTGAGCCTTTTCATTGGACGAATCTTCGAATGTCAGCTGACTGCACTGAAAAAAAAAGTGACCAAAGCAGCCTTTTTTCTCGGTGTATAGGTTTATTAATCAATGGAATATTTTTCTACTTAATGTATTTTATGTAATTTTTTTTTTGCTATTTTATTTGTTTTATATGGGAGCCCATTTCTGCCACTGAATAAAAAATAAAAGCGCGCGTGTGTGTGTGTGTGTGTACCTGAGCGTTTCCCATCATAAATTTAAAGACCATATGTTCTCAATATTGTTGTGTACTCATTTGAATGAAAAGCAATGCTAATTAAATGAATCGGTTGGTTTTTAACTAGTCTTTCCAGTCATCCATTCACTTTCAAATTATAAATTGAAGTGTTTTTTTTTTTTTTTGAAATTTTTTGAATTGCTGATTTTTACAGATTATATGCAACAAGAGGTAAGGTAAAATGTAAGGTAAACTTCACACGTGTGAATGAAGTAAAATGATTACACTGTATAACCCATTTGTGTTAATTTGTTCTGTACTGTGTGTGAAATACATTAATTTTGTTTCATTGCTTAAATAGGGAGAAAGAAATAAACAGATTTTCTAAATTATTCTCTTTTTGTTTTGCTGTTGTTTTTTAGGCTAACTTTGTGTAAGAGCAGTTTACAGTTTTCATTACTCGCAATTGCGAGTTTATATCTCACAATAAAAAAAAAAAAAAAAGAGTCAGAATTGTGAGATATAAACTTGAGATATAAACTCGCCATAGTGAGAAAAAAAGTCAGAATTGTGAGAAAAATAAGTTGCAATTAACTTTTTTATTTTTTATTCAGTGGCAGAAATGGGCTTCCATAGTTTTATGAACGACTCACGGACCACATTTATTTAGACAGGGTGGAAAGATTGATTGCAAAATACTTGAAAAATGATTCAAACTTGAATAAATGACTTAGGGGTTGTTTCAGGGTGCGTGCACGCGTGTGTGTGTGTGTGTGTGTGTGGTTGTTTTTTAGGCTAACTTTGTGTAAGAGCAGTTTACAGTTTTCATTATTTATTTATTTAAATTTATTTGAAAAGGGACCATGCACAATTTTAACATAAATGTTTCCATTTCATGCATTGTACCGAATTTAGCCAATGGCTAGTTTTCATCCGCGGTCCCTTGGCAGGTAATCATCTGCCATGACATTTAATCTCATGAGATTTAAGGTAGATATCAGTCCTATCAAGCTGGTTCCTTCTGTTTATAATTTAAACTGTAGATGCACACATGGACTTACATCATGTCAGCTTTCATAAAAGGCTGCAAGCTAAAAAACCTAAAGAGTAAGAGCTGCATTTAGTATCTCTTAGTCACTCTTATCTAGCATACACTAAATACTTTTCACATATTAATAAAAGTAGCTACAGTAAAAAAAAATCTGTGAAATGTACAGTAAAAAATAACTTTGTACAGAACTTTACAGTAAAATGAAGTAACAGCATTTTAGGTTTAACGGATTAAACTTGAATTTACAGTAAAAAAATGTATATTTCATTAAATTATATAATGTTAAAATACCAACCTACTGAAGTAGTAAAATCTATTTTGTAGCTTTATAATACACTGACAAATACCCAAAATAACAGGTGATAAAGAGAAAGCCACACGATGAATCAAAATTCATTTCCACAAGCTGAGGAGGTAAATGCTAATATATAGAAGTTGCACAATGCCATTCACACAAATACAACACTAACATAACACACAAAAATAATGCAGTAAACATTATTTTAACAACATAAGATGTGATGTAAAAACTTAATGTGCATTACTGATAAGAAAAAAAAACTAGAGGAAACAATTATTTAAATTTAAAAAAAAAACAATCCGAAGCATCACACAGGGAATTCTGGGAATGACAATTTACGTTTTTCACTGTAAATTATAAGATGACTTGTTCTTTTTCACTTCCAAAAACTGTAAACTTAACAGTATTTGACTGTTTACATAAAATGTCCTGTTCGATTTGTTACAGGTTTTGACCGTATACGGCAAAGGAACATCTTTACCGTTAAAATTTCGATCATTTTTTTACAGTGTGGTTTTGCATCAAATGCATGGATTTTGACATTCTTGACTGTAATTATATTACAGTCAAACTAAACTATTCAACCCTGTTATCCAAGAAAAAAATGATCAACAAATATTGTTATGTTATGTTATGTTTTATGTTATGTTATGTTACATGTTATGTTATGTTATGTTATGTTATGTTATGTTTTATGTTATGTTATGTTACATGTTATGTTATGTTATGTTATGTTATGTTTTATGTTATGTTATGTTATGTTATGTGATGTTGTTATGTTATATGTTATGTTATATGTTGTTTTATGTTATGTGATGTTGTTATGTTATATGTTGTTTTATGTTATGTTATGTTATGTTATGTTATGTTATCTTATGTTATGTTATGTTGTTTCTTTAATTTATAGGCAATATTTGGTCCCAAACTAGCTATGAAAGCTTAGGGTTTTTCTTTTCTTTCTTTTTTAAATATAATATTTATTTTATTATTAATTGCTAAAATTCTAGATAGAATCACACAAATCTATCCCGAAGGTTGGTAACATGTTTGTAAAAATAGCAACCTCCATAGAAAATGAACACAGCACATATAATTTGTAGTTTTACTTTAACATTTTCAGGATGATAATTACTTCAGACCCTGTTTTGTTCTCAAATGACGTTGGAAGTGTTTCAGTCAAAATAGTACATGAACTATGAAGAGAATGTGGAGGAAACCCAATGTTTTGCTCTAGAAGTGGCCATTAATCTTGTGGTTTCCTCTTGCAAAGTGGTTAATCTACAACAACATGTTACTGCTGTTCATTTATGTGAAATCTTTTTACGATGCACATAGAGTTAGATTTATATTTAGCCATCTGAACTTTTTCAAGTGATCTCATTTCTGTCCTCCACCACATAGCTTTAATCTTTGTTCAAACTGCACATTTGCTTCTTCATCCACCGCTTTGTTGCATTATTCTATAGGGCAAGCAAAGAAATTGAATGTCAAATTCCCATATACCAACTGAATGTGCTTCTCCGTAAGCTTCTTACAGAGCTCAGTTAGCTGGATTGCATATTTATAGGTCAGACATTGTGTTGTGGCAGTGGTTTGGCGTGAACTGCAATGGACTCGATTCCAGCGCTAAACTTTTTGATTATGTCGAGGTGGATAAGAAGGCTGCAATCAATACGTCATCACATTAGAAGCCTTATAGTTAAACGATTTCATTGTCGATCCCTAAGTCTTTGAACAGGACGGAGTTAGTTGCTTCCAGCTGCTTCTGTCTTTTGTTGAGTCAATAGAGCTCTGTTCTGAATGTTAACTCAGGTCAACTCCGGATTGGAGCTGGTTATTGCATTTAACAAAATTGTCTCTGTCTTGGAAGTTACATATTATTAATGAACCACAATGACTAAGATTGTCATTTAAAATATACAACTAGTCTAGAAAGCCAAAAAAGCTGAATAAATGGCACACAACAACTGTTTATGAGTCCTGTCGCCTTCATCACCCTGACCCAGATCATGAAGAAAGAGTTGTTGTATTTTTCACATAACCTGGAATAGTTGGCTGCAGTCATGTGATCTGTGGCACTGAAGTGGTTTTGGTTATGGCATGTGTGAAGGAATGTGTTGAGGTTAAATAAAGAGACGGCTCACAATGTCTTTGTGTTTCATAGTCGGCCTCCCGGTCATGCAGTAATGCAACTTGGACAAGCTCACCAACCAAGAAGTATGTGTGTGGGTGAGCGCGTATTATTCCATAAATCTTTGCTTTTGACCACATATGCACTAACTCGTACAGATTTATTTCAATATGAAGTGTTATGAAGGGAATGATTCTATCAAACAGAATACAGTATATGTCAATCTTAAAATATAATAAATCTTAAATATGCAGTTATACATCTGAATAACAAAGCGAATGTTCTTTCAGTATAACTGTACAAACGTCCAGCTTCAGCTGGAGCTATAGAGCCGTTTGCACTGCATATGAGATTTATAAATGTCTTCATATGTAAGATTTGTTAAGCGAGTGACAGCCTGTCTGAGGTGGATGGTGTGATTCATTAAACACATGAGGTGTGTTTATAATGGAGAGAGCTGCGTATCAAGTAACTTTAAGGTATTTTTTATGTGTGTGTTTTCTCTAGCAGATCTGTACTATCAACTCACTTCAAATAATTTTGAATAAATAAATATGTCAAATAAATAAAATATTTTTGTTACAGCTAAACATTTTCTGAAGTTGGATAATTTAATCAGTTTTTAAATGTTTTGTTTCATAATGAACTATTTTGCCCCTTTATTTATTTATTTATTAAAAATTATGAATCTAATAGTCTGTAAAATGTCTGTTTGCATTGTGACTACTTACCCCATATAGTGTGACAATATGAACATTTGTATACTTTTTGAGTGTTTAATATTTTCAATGTTATGGGTCGGGTATAAAGGTTTATATTGCTGACAAGGGAAAAGATAATTTGTCAAGATCATTTTGTCTATTTACTTCCATTCTCACAAATCAACGTTTACTGTATACATTTACTTTATACTTTTACCTTAAGAAAGTTAAAGAGGATTCTTTTGTCTCTCTATAAGACAGTAAACAATGCATTAACGAATGCACTGAAATGAGTAAATACAGAAACTTTAATGGCCACTTCCATTCTGGACGGTTGCCCTTGAATAGGAAGAAGCACTTCTGAACTAATAGAGAAAGCACATCTTCTAGTTGATCTGTACAGTAAGTAGAGCTCAGTGATTGGCTGGCAGCAGGTGTGTCTGTCCTTTGATTGGTGCAATCTGTTTCAGTCGCTGATTGGATGAGAAACCAGAAGTGTTAAAGTTCAAGTGCAGGGCAGTGGATCAAGCTGATTGACTTTGCACATTGAGTTCTGCTGGTCTCTGCTGTTCTCTGCTGGTCTCTTTCAGTGGTGCAGTCATATGTCTTGGATTTGTTTGTCTCCATCTGCTGGTGGTCTGATAGCACTTGCACTGTTTGGGATTTTTTTTTGCAATTTTGTTGCTCATTGGGGTTGAATGGGTATTACATTGATGTGCTACTACTGAAGGAGCGGGACTTTATATATGGTGTGATTTATGGCTATATTGCTGCCAGAAATATAG